CGCCCCGCGGCGCCCGGCGCTCCTGCCGGGACACACGGGACACCGGCGCTGAGCGGAGCAGCCGCGCGTCCTCCCCGCAGCCCTGCGTGCTCCGCAGCCGGCGCCTCCGCGCACAGCACGGGGCCGCTCTGTGAGGGTCTCCCCTCCTTCCCTGGCCTTTGGGGGGATTTTCCTTGGCGGATTTCAAGCCCTTTCCTCGCAGCCTCGCAGAGCAGCGGGGCTCCTGGGACCTCCCGTTCCGTCACCGGGGGTGCTCGGCTTGGAGCCGCGTGCCCAGGCCCCATCGTGGTGCCAGTCCCGGCTGTGCCGGCAGCGGGCGAAGGCAGGGACACGCCTCAAGCCCCGGGAGCCCGGTGCTGTCCCCAGGGGCTCTGCTGGTTCCTCAAGTCCGGGTCTGCCTTTGTTCCCGAACCCATGGGAACCTCTCCAAGAGCTAATGGATGGCGCGGCCGTGGCTGCAGCAGCCGGCGAATGGGCCCTGCGGCGCAGCCCGCAAAGCCAGGCTGGTACTCGTGATCCTGCCCGGATCAGGCCGAGCACTGCTGGGGGCACCTGCCCGGGGACATTCCCTGCGGACTCAAGGCTTTGAAGGGAAAAACAACTGGAAAATGATGGAAGCGAGACTCACGGAGACTGCTGGTGGCAGGCGGCGATCGGGGCGGTCCGGAGGGGCGCAGGACGGGGCCCGTGGCCGGTTCCGCCCGTGCGGGTCTCGCGTCGCTGCTCCGTACGTCCGGGCTGCGCACGCAGCCCCGCGGCTCCGCTGGCCACCAATCCTGCCGCACGGAAACAAATAAGCACACAAGCATCCCGTTAATACTTGTCCTACCAGGTATTAAACCAGCTGGGTTTAAGCTCTTCGCAAAACACAAAAGAAAAATTAAAAAAATAAAAAAGGAACGCGATCAGGTAGGGATAAACTGTGCCTGGAAACCTCTGCGGAACGAAATGCCCCTCGCTCGCCCAGCACGGCTCATCCGGCAGAGAGCAGCTTGGCTGGAGGGGCAGTTTCGGTGCCCATTGCCTGGCAGAGGAGAGCCCGGTGCAGCACGCGGTGCACGGGCACGGTGCCTGGGCACACGGTGCGTGGGCACGGTGCAGGGTGTGCAGTGCAAGGGGCACGGTGCACGGGCACGGTGCAGGCACACAGCAGCCGCTGCCCCGCGCAGCCCGGCACTTGCAGCTGCCGCCGGCAGAGGACAGCAGCACTGTGCTTCCCCCGCCACCCAGGTCGGGAAACATCCTGCTCCTGCTGAATTCCGAGCAGGAGCCCCAGGAGCTTCTGCATTCGGGGCCATTCCCGCTCCTGCACGAGCCCAGGGACCTGGAGGAGTCTCTTTCCCCCGGGGCTGAAGCTATCGGCGCAGGCAGATGGGCAGCATTCCCAGCCATTCCCCCCTGCCTGGAACTGGCTGCTCCCTCCCGGCCGGTTCCTCCAGCTCCAGGCCCTGCAGCTTCACCTACAGCCCCTACATCTACACCCGTCCTCAGACACAGGCGGGCGCTTTCCCACGGAGCCCCAGGGAGGCAGCACCCGCTCCGCAGGGAGCAGGAGGGACGGGGACCGCGGCCTGGTGCTCCAGTGGCTGCTCCGAGGCGCGCTCAGCCTCAGCACGGCAGCATTCCTAAAATAGCGGAGGGAATTCAAATGCAAAAGCAGGTTTCCCGGAAGGGATTAAAGGAAAATAGGTCAAGCGAGCGCAAGCGATTAAGGCAGCCCAGCGTCCCGGGCGGGCCGCAGCCGTGCCGGGTGCTGCGGCTGCGCCGGGGGCTGCGGAACATCCAGCGCGCTGGGCGGCCGCGCTGCAGCCCCCGCTCGGCGCGGCACTGCGCGCGACACGGCGCGCGACACGGCACCCCCCTCGACGGAGGGTCCGGAGCGGCGCCAGCCCCGCGCGAGCACGTCCCCAGGAACCCCAGCCAGCGCCTCGGCCCGCACCGAGCGTCCCGGCCGCCGCTTCCCGGGGATTTGCCCGCGAGCTGCTCACGGGCGAGCGGATGAGGGCTAATCCGGGGCTGGAACGGCGCTCCGCGCGCTGCCGCTTGCCCCGCTGATTAGCAGGGCTGATCCGCAAGCGCTCGCTTGTGTCCTAAGCCCGGGGTCAAGGAAATGGAAGGGCGGGAGGGGAAGGACGAGGCCAGCTCGGCAGGCAGGGGCAGCAGGGAACTGCCGGGAATTCCCTGGGCATGACGGAGGGCAGCAGTGAATTCCCGGGCATTTCCCAGGCTTGCCCGGCCACACTTTTCCACAGTTCCCCGCTGCACCAAGCCTGTGAGGGCTTTGGTGGGGAATCACCTGCTGCTGCGGCCCGAGCGCTGGCGAGCGGCGGTGCCGCTGAGCGGAGCCGCCGCCGTTCCCGCCCGGCTCGCCGTGCCCACCGCAGCTGGACGTGGTGCCAATGCAGGCGGCTCCGTGGCGCACGGTACCTTGCGACGCAGCTGCCTCTCCGCTCTCTCCGCTGGCTCTGGTCGTGCCGTGTCCACCCACTGCCCAAAACCTGCGAGCAAGAGAGAAACCCGCGTTACACTCCAGGCTGCAGAGAGCCCGGAGCCCATCCAGAGAGCCCGGAGCAGCTCTCGGCTGTCGCCCTCGCTCCTGCGGCAGCGGGAGGTGGCATTTTGGGGACAAGCTCCCTGATTTTCCAGCCTGGCTCCGCTTCCCCCACGCTAAAGTGGATGGGGGCCCTGCAGAGCTGGTGACGATGGCAGCAGCCGTGGCCAGAGCTCGCCAGGAGCCGGGAAGCGCCGACACTGCTGCCGGGAACCCAGACGGCCCATCCGGAGCCGGGCCACAGCTCCCAGGAAAAGCAGCCGGGGGGACTCGGCTCTTTCCCCGGCAGCTCCGCAGCCTCCCGCTGCCCAGCATGGAGCGGGCGTGCGGCCGGCAACGCCGTGAGGCGTCTGGCCCCTCCAGACGCAGCTGCCGGCCGGGATTTTGAGCCGCTTGTTTGTTTGTGTCCAGGCAACCAAGAGAGGCTGGAAAAAAATATATCACTTTGTCACCCCTGAGTCACCGCTGCGGAGCGGCCGCAGCGCCCGCCATCCCGCCGTGGCCGCGGCGCAGAGCCGGGAAGCGCAGCGGCCTCCGGGCGGAGCGGCCGCGCTCGCGTGTTCCAGCTGCGCCTCGGCGTTTCCCGGGAAATCGGCCGGCCCCGGTTTCCATGGCAGGTTTTGTGCGGGTCCGCACAAAGGGGCCGCGGCGGAGCGGCCGCTCTGCCCGCCGCAGCGCGCGTCCCCTCGGCCGGTCCCGCCGATGCAGCCCGGCGAGGCAGCGCTGCCCTGCGCGCTTCATGGCCCCTCGGGGCCAAGCCCGGCCACCCTGGCGCCCTGCAGCTCCCACCCTGCACCGCCGGCACTGTGCTCCCCTGACACCCTTTAACTTTCATTTAGAAACTCTTTGCTAAGGAAGCGCTGCGAGATTCCAAACTTTCCCGGTCTTTGGCCCAAGGGGGTCGGTGGCACCAGAGGGTCTGGTGGCTCCCAGAGGGTGTGCAGCACCCGCGGGCAGAAGCACCAAGTGGGTTGGTGACACCAGCGGGTTGGTGACACCAGGCGGGTGGTGACCCCAGGGTTGCACTGTGCAGCACGCGGCGATGGTGGCATTGGGGTTCAGTGGTCCTGGGGGAGCACCCCATGGTCCTGGCGCTTCGGTGGCACCAGGGGCATCGTGCAGCGCTGGTGATGGTGACAATGGAGGGCTCAGCGGCCGGGGCTGCCCCACACAGCACCGGGAGGCTGCTGGCACCGGGGGTTGGTGGCACCGGGGGGTGGCACCGGGGCGGGTGGCAGCGGGGC